GCCTTGCTCGAGTAGGGCCATTGGACCAGATGACCTCCAGAGGTCCCTGCCAACCTCAAGCATTCTGTGATTCTGTGATGTGCTGTTTTTAAAAAAATCTATAGCACAAGACAATGGTTTCTGAACAAGAGCTATCTGTTTGTGCCTTCTCAATTTTCCTTTAAAAGTGGAAAAGATACTGATAACTGGATATGCTTGAGAGATGGACAAGTTGTCTCAAAAATGACCTACCATGACTAGGGTAATGCTGAGGAAGCAGAAAGATAGTCTGCAAGTGAGCAAGCCACTTTACTCTGGATCCGAGCTGTATGGCCATGGAGGTTGCCCTTTCTATTCTGGACCTCAGCCTTATGACCATGGAGGTCTGCTGTATAACTCTACTCTCTGTCTGTTGCTCCAGAAGAGAGTTATATTTTGGTCACACAGCTGTATAAGTTGATTTACCCTGCCTTTATTCAAAGAAAAGTGAATTAAACCCATAATGAATAAATCTAATTTAAAAATTACATTGTTGATCATCACTGCAGCAACATGCGAGACCCTTTCTGAGGTTCGCCAATCAAATGCATAAAGTACAATACAAAATAAGTGTGGCTAGGCATTCCCATTTTGAGAGTCAGGGCAATGTGATCTTTGTAAAAAGTGGTATTTTAACAAAATTGTGTCAGCCAAAGAGCTTTGAGTTGAGTAGGTTCACAAAGTCCTTATGGCATCCAATAAAAAAATAGTGGTTTTAATGATATGTAGACTCACTGACTCCGCTGGGCTTTTTGGTAAAGTAGCGTTCATTCAAATGGATGGGGATCATTGAAGAATTACAGTCGATGTGCTACATTAATTTTGGTTTAAAAGGGAATATTGTCCAACCCTAAAAACAAAACATGACTGAATTACAGCTACAGAGAAACACATTAAGCACATTAAACTCTTAGAATAGTGCTAATAGTCCAAATACCATTTTGAACCTAAATTCTGGACAAAGGAGTTTAAAACAACATACATCATTACCCAGGGAGTAGGAGTTGAGACTTTTAAATGTGTTTTCCTTAGTATATGTTCTTAAAACATAGCACTTTCTCATTCTTTTTGACTAACATTTTTATGCAATAGTCCCCAAGCATACATCTTTCTCTCCTTAGGTGTAACTCATACTCTTGCGCATTTATGTCATCGTTGATACGCTAGAATTTGTCATCTTAACCTGTCTGCAAGTATTTGCAAAGTGTTGCCTGTAGTCTCAAACCTGGTGAAGTCTGTAGGGTTCTTGACCTCAGCAAGTTTGGATGAGGCCAGTGATTGTATTAAAAATAGATATTTTTATAAGATGTGACTGCACTGTCAGTTGATCTGAGTCTCTAGTCTGGTACAGGCTCAGCATTATTTACACGGTAGCGTGAACTCAGATGTGCATTTAACCCGTGGCCTCTGAGGAGGAGAGCTGAAGTGCTCTGCAGCCAGGCTCTCCTTTGTGAGGTTTGCACGGGCTTGGCACAGCAGTGCCAGCGGTGATATCTCCCAGCCAGTTAGCTTATACCTTCCGCCCAGCTCTTCTCAAATGATTTCCAATCTAAGAGCCAAGACTTCTGATGAAAAACACCTGATCCTTAAAACCTGAAGCATTTAAGGAAATGTTTGAGCCCACTGTGCATCCTTTAATGAGACACAGTCATCAGTCTGTGGTTTTCAAGATTCTCCTCTTCCAGTGAGACTGCTGAGATGCTGAGCTTGAAAATTAGTCAGAAGTGTTGGCAAATAGTAGGTCTATTCCTATGAATCTTACCCTTATATATTGCTGCCCAAATTTCCACCCTCAGTTCAACGCTAACTATAATCCATGTAACTAAGCATCTGATGCCTATTAGTTGTTTTCCATCTTTCTGAAGCGCTCGGTTTTATATGCAAGTGTATAAGTGCATGTGGGAGACCACGCAGTCAGTAAGAGAGGTATATTGTATTTGCATGATAGGAAATGGGGCTACAGGCTGAGTGCTTCCAGTGCTCTTGACTTTTTATTTTTTATATAATAAAATGTTCTATGTGTGATGCTATAGCTAAAAATGTTAGTGAGGGGGACACCTCTGGAGCAGATCAGATAGCCGTTATCTAAATTACTTCCCGTAATTGTCTCGTCTCTCAGGGGACTACTGTATTTGCAGCATTAGATGGAACTGGTATGCTGAAGCACTTGAGACAGGTCTACGCAGAGTACCTCCAGAGGAATGGGCAGAGTGGTGTGAGGGTGCCAGGCTTCGCTGGCAGTTCCTTTGTAGCAGAAACCAGGGGTACGTTGGTTCCAAATGCACAAGTCAATTGGGTTGGCTAGCTGAGCAAAGTCTTCTCCAGTGTAGGGAGAAATATGGGTCGTCAGACCCTTTCTAACAACATAAAAAAAGTAGGGAATAGCCACTGGAAACTGCTGTGCCTTTGACTGATTCATGCAAGCCTAAGGCAGAATCTTATCTCTTTCCTTGAAATCAGTGTTTATTAAATTGGGAATTGCTTTAAAAGTGGAGAAATAGGCAAGAGACTGACACTTATTTATTTTCCTTCTGACCACTTTCATCTTTGCCAGCCGGTGTGTGGGAACTCCCAGCGAGCGCCAGTAGAACTTGTCAATGTTCATTCCAGAGCAGAGCAACAGGAAAGCCACAAAATACTTCTAAGCAACTGTGCCGTCACTTTCCCCACACTGAGGTCTCATTAGAAAAGTGAGCAGTTTTCCAGTGCATTTTGCTGTCCTCACTCAGAAAAATATTAGTGCATCAGCAAAAGAAACGCGCACCAAATACACGTAAAAACTGACACCTGTGGTTGGTGAATCCCCTCGGAAATAGCATTAGTGCTCATCAATGAACCTCAAAGACGTGAAGAGTGGTTTATACACTGTACCTTTTATTCTTCAGCCTGAAACTAGGAGAATGTTACTCCAGACAGTTCCTAGGTACCTGGCTTAGTTGTTTTATGCATTTTGCACTTAACGTGTAGCAGCAGTGTTTAGTGTCAATGTGGATCCAGGTTAAAACTGAAACTGAGTTTCATACTTTCAGTAAAGCCTGGGTTACCGAACAATGCTTTAGGTCACCTTTTTTCCCAGATGAATCATCTCTGGAGTTCTGCTCACGTTTTGAGTACAAAGATATACAGATAACATTTTGTTTTGGACGTTTCATTATGTTACAGAGATCGTGTTTTATTTTCTCCTTCTTCCTTTTCTCCATTTTTATTTTTAATTGCAACTGCTAATAGGAACTTTGATCTGAAATTTCCTCATCCAGCATTTTTTAATCCCATGTAGCATGAGAATCCCAGGAGTTTAGTCCAGCAGGTTGGGTTTTTTCCCTTTTCTTTTCTTTCTGTCACACTGACTTCACAAATTCTAGGGAAGTTTAGCTTCAGTCTTGAGCCCTGAATCTGCCAGCAGAGGAGATTTATGAAAGCAAGAGTACACCCTACTTGTGAGTATTTTATTGGTAGTTGTAGTATAGAAAGAAATATGAAAGTTATGAAGGTTTGCATGTTGTGGCTGCCTTTTGGCATGAAATGCAACAGCTATCATTAATGATAAAATGGCAATAAATAAGCGTATGGCTTAAGTTTAAGCTTTGTTAAGTTTTTACAACAAGAAGCATCAAGCCAGGCAGCTATTTATTCCTGATCCAGGGAAACTCTATTTTATGAAAAGCATTCATGGAAAAGTCGATGCACTTTTGTGCATTGCCAAAAGTCAATGCAAAGTCTTAGCCATGACATAAAGTCCTTCTTGGTTGGTTGATGCCAATGTGTTTGTGGTGAGGGCTGCTTGCTTGTTGTTTTTGGGGCTTGTTTTTGGTGGTTTTTTTTTCAAGGCACAGGTAAGAGTTCCGGAGCAGAGAGACTACACCTGCAATTTTGAATTTATGTTTCTGTGGTATTCAGTTGAAATCTGAACTTCTATTTTCATTATGCATTACAGTCTTTTAGGTGGTGACTATTACTGCCTCAATAAGGAAAGATGGGAAGCAGAGGAAATGAGGTTTTTTTGCTGACACTTAAATTTAAAACACGAGCTTGTAATGAAATGGTGCGGCAAGCACCTTTGCAGGGGAGTTGAAAAAATCAAAATGCCTTGATAAAATGTGCCTGAAGATACTGTGCTAGAACAAGACCTGGTTACTTCAGTGGCATCTCCAGTCACAACAGAGGTGTTTTCAGCTCGGAAACAGAGCAGAAAGCATCAGAGAGAAAGTACCAATTTCACCATCTGAGAAAAACGTAAATGTATAAACTTTTTGCTTCAGTATTCTTTTTGGGTCAGGTGGCCCAAGGGTTAGTCTCTGAACGATGACAGTACTTCCTTTGACTCTGGGACTGTCACTTACACTTTGTTGGTACATCAAAAACGTGTGATCAGAATGACTATTCTGGTAGTCTCACAGTTCAGAATAAATGTCAACATCAAGGGCTATCTGTGTGCATCAGTGCAACCCAGGACTCAGTTCAGACCTCGGTGTGGTAGAAATTGCTAGTAATTAAAGAGAGTAAGTGATCAGAAGTCACCCAACAGAAATGCTGCTGCTTTTTGATTAGTGAAACCGTTATCAAAAGTGACTAAGAGGTACAAAGGAATTGTCTTCTCTTCTATTGGCAGTGAAGGAGATGAACATAGGGCAAAGATTTAACTTTACTTTAAATACGTTTTTACTGCAAAAAAGGCATTGAAATAGCTATGAAATATGTTAAGCAAATTCCATCATTAATAATCAGAGTAGGCTTGTTTTGTACCTGTGATTGTTTGGCATGGCCTCTAGCAAGGGCTGGGCTAGAACCCAGAAGTTCACTTAAAGGAAAACAAAGCTTTTGTAAACTCCTGTGAAGGGTCCCTGCTATTCCAGGCTTTACTGCTGCTTTTAATACTGTTTCTTTTAGACTGCTCTAGTTCCTTCCTACAACTTATCGGGAATACAATGTTGTTCACGTATGTCTTAAAGCTAGTTGGGAAGAGCTGTGTAGGAAAGCCGTCAATGTCGGGCGCTATCGTTCGCGGTATGCGGGCCGGTTCCCAGCCTTGTCAGTACAATTTCTGCCCTTTTGCTGGTAACGCTTACGCTTTAAGACAATGGCATAATGACTAGCTACTGTGCAGTAATGACTAAAAGTCCCCAAAGGAAAAGTTCTTCTGTTTAATAAAACAGTGATGTTCACAGCTGGGATAGGAGAGTTTCTTCATGTCTTTTCTTTTTTTTTTTTTTTTTTTTAATGATGGCATATTTTTTAAAACAGATTTTTATGAAACTATTTTAAAAGCAGTCTGTATTGTAAGAGCACTTAAGAAAATGTGTTTTCTGCCAGAGTGTCTTAAAGAATTAGAGGTTCAAATGCAGATGTGTTGTAACAGTATTTTAGGTCTTCTCATATGTTTTCATTTGAGGCATATATGTATATTCCTTAGAAGGAAATAATAGAAATTAAAAATGAAAAAAATAACAAAATGCCAAGACCTTATCTCTGCACTTCATCTCATAGATCACCTGAAATATAATAATCTACGTGCAAAACATAATAATCTGTACCAAAATGCTCTGTTAATTCATGGCAAAACTGTAAATAAATAAATAAATAAGCTCACAATTAGACTGAGATTTCACTTCCTGGCTTGAAAAATTGAATTGCAGGCTCATAGCTCCCTTGAGTGTTTGGAGAGAGAATAGCAGCTCTTAATAACAGCGCTTTTTCCTGTGCGTGGTGGACATTCATGTCATTACCATTTTTCTGGCAAATTTTCAACCACCAGCAGCAAAAGTTTTCATCGATTGCCTCCTGCTGTAAGACGGTAATGATACTGCCGTCCCTTTCTTTCATGAACTGCGGGAATTGGAGAAAATGAGGGAAGCTAGAGATATTAGATATGGATAAAACACAATTCAGGCTGAGCTATTCCCTACGTCACTACATAAGGTCTAGCGGACTAATTTTTACACATCTGTACTAAATATAGAAAATAGGTTTTCCAATGTAACAGTGGAGAATCCAAAGTAAAAATCGATCGAGATGCTGTAAAGTAATCCACTCTCTAGAAAACGCGAAGGTGTCGGGGGCACCTTTTCTCTGAAACCCAGGCTCCTCTTACCGTCACTCGGGCAGAGGAGCCACTGTTGTTGAACAAGAAGAATGAGACATTGTGCGGTTGTCCCGACCCGATGCTGTTTCCATTCGGTCAAGGGTTACCATTTTGTCAATTGTTGCAGTCCAGTGGTGGTGAGGGGGAGAAAAGCTATTTGTGAGAAATATTGTTACGTGTTTCGCTCGAGTGCGCTTGCTCTGTGCGGCTGGCTTAGGGTAGGAAATAGACGGAGGTGTTTGGGGTCATTAGCATCAGAATTGCACTGAGCTGTCAGAAAGTGATCCCTGATGTCTCACTCCCTCTATTTATAATTGACAGGAAGACGCGCGTTCATTTTGATGACACAGAATCGAGTGCAGCTGGAGGAAAGGAAATGGGAAACCTGAGCTAAAGTAGTAATGGAATGCAGGAGTTTGTGCATGTACAAATCTTTGTCGTAAATCAACACTTAATTGTTTTGCATTAATTTTCATGACTTGGGATTGTGAAAATCTAGTACTTTATATTTAATAAGGAAGCAGCACAGTGATCTATATCCATATCATAAGGTAGAAAACGCATTGTGACACTGATGTCCTTTTGACTAAGATAATGAATTTAAGCTTATATGTCTTTACCTTTAAGGATCCTTTCATCTTATCAAGTACGCTGAACAATTTCCACGGATAGGAGTGTCTTGTGATTGATTTTTATTTTTTGTGAAACTTAAATATATTTAGTTGTGAGTACCTTGTTCTCCAAATCATTGATACAGTGTTTACCTTGCATATAAGCTCAGCGCTGTTGGAGCAAATATATGTGAAAGCTAATTGAAGTATAGAGTTTAGAACAAGAGTTTGTGCACTTGTACGTTGCCATATTATTAATTGAACAAGAGTTCAGAGCACTTGTGTGTCACTACATTATTAATTGAGGATTTTATGGTTTTGAGATTTACAGCTAGTGTGTCAGTTTTAGCACAGAACAGTGATGCCTGCATCGCTGCTCTTCTCGTGTATCACAATCTCTGCGTCGACGTAATACACAAACGTGTTCTAGAAGGCACATAGAGAGTGTGCAGAGGGGATGAACAGACAAACAGGTCTTTATAGTAAAAATTAGAAATAAAACAGCAGACTTGAGTCCACCTTCTTGGCATCTCTTGTAATATAACGCAGAATTATTCCACTTGCCAGAAATATGAGCAACATGAATGAACCTCGAATGTGTTGGGTTGTCAAGGTTCATTGAAACTAGCACTAAATTACTAAACTAATTTTTAGTAATTTTTAGTACTAAAGTACTAAACTAAAGAAAATGACTAAGAAGCAGGGGCAGATTCAGGTGACCCCATGGTTGCAGAGCCTGTCTACAACAGAGCCGGGAATTTTATAAAGATGGTATTGCAACACTTACACTCAGTTTTGCCTTTCTTCTTGATAAACTCATCCACTTTCTACAAACGTATATAATGCAGAAAAGAGAGGGCCATTTAAAATGCAAAATGACCCTTCGATTACTTTAATCTTGTTTTTTTTTATGTCTTCAGCAGTGCTAGATTAGCCCCTAGCCCTATCCAGTTCTTGCTGGGGGGGAATATGTTGAGGGAATGTATGTTATGAACTATTATTATTCCAAATTACCTTTTAAAAAAACCAAAAATATATGTTTACAGTGGTATGGAAGTACTTAGAGCAAACTCAGCAGAGATGCTTCCTGGTTTCTGATGCTGAAACCTTTGTCTATCTCCAAAGATTGAACTACTGTTTTTTAAAATAAACTTCTTTTATTCTTAGTGTTCAGTTTGCTTTAGACAGATTCACACTGAATAAGATGTTATTTAGTTACAAAAATGTGATTTGCATTATCTCATGCAAGTATGAAAACATCATTGTTTAAAATATTTCCAATTAACTTTCCATATTAAAAGTGGAAAAGGCTATGGAGTTTATGCATGGGGACACGATTTGAACCTATCATTAATCCTGTTTCTTTTATTGTTTGCATCATTGTTAGACACTTGTATAGAAGCTACTTCAGGATCAGGTAATATATGAAAATGTCTTGACATTATGGATTTGTGGATCGATACTTCTTTTACGTTTACAGCCAGGGTTGTTCTAGCTGAACTATTTTAAGAAAAGAAGTTTCTGAAATAGCTCTGTGTGTGTATGCGTGTATATTTTCACAAATTCATAATCCGACTGATTTTTTTTTTTTTAGGATCTTGTTTTAATCTTAATATATATGTAACTATGTACATGCACACGTGCTCTCTACCTTCACAAGTTTTAAGTGAAGATTTTTACCTGTCACCTACTGTAAGCATGCCGAAACAAAGCCTCAAGCTTTGCAGCTTTTAGCATGGGCTCTCTTTGTAAGATCATTTCGCTGATGCTTGTAAACTCAGGATTAGTTTCAAAGCAAAATACAGGAGAGGTCATTGGAAATACAGAAGTATGGAACACGATAAATCATGTCTGTACAGAGCTGAATTGGAGAGGTATAATAATGAAACATTATGTCATCTTCATTTTTTTATGCTGCCTTGTAAACACCCTAAATTTGATCCAGATGTAAATAAATTCTGTTAAACATTTATTAATGTAATTTGTGCTGCAATACAATAGTCAGTCAGTTTCCTTGTCTTACATTTCAGCTCTGTACTCATACAGAGCAAAAATTATATCCAGTTATTCTCAAGCAATTAAGCTATACTTTAGAAATGAAGGAGTATGTTGTCACACAAATAAGGAGGAATGACAGAATCAGGATCTGAAGAATTTGCAGAAACGCCTGCAATCTCTTACAGAAGCCTTCTGTGCACATTAATTTCTATAAGGGATGGTTTAAGTTTTGCTAACGCTGGTATTTAGAACAACGAAGCACCAAAAACTGGCCTTCTTGCTAAAGTAGCAAAACGCAGCAAAGCATAAGAAACCAAAAGAAAGGATGCTTCTAGCCTTTTCTGCACTTACGGAAGTTCAAAAGTGAGTTTCTAAAACTTACCTAGAAGTACGGCTCTGAAAGGGAAGTGTAAGCGCAGGTTTGACCTGGGTCTGAACTGGGCATCAGAGAACTAGTGGTAGAGCTGTAGTAGAAGTGTTGTCCCGTTCTCTGGTGGATACCATGCTGCACAGATTTGCCAGTCTTGAATTGAGACAAAAATGAAAATCTTGACAGTTCTCACAACTCCAGCTGAAATATTTTCTTTTTGACAAATTCAGGGTCTGTCTTTGATCTTGACTTTTTAAAAATTTACATTCACATTGCCTTCTACAGGAAGCAAATTTTCTTTTTGTCTGATCCATCTTTTGGCTTTGCCAGGTCTATCTTATTAATGTGTTGTGGAATTCATTCTCATTTTCCTTACTTGCAGGTCAGTACAGGTGGTCAACTGAGGTTTTTTTTAATCTAATACTTGTATCTACTTAATTTCTATGTTTTCGGTTTAAAATTCACAGTTGTTTTCGATATGAGCATGGGAATCTGGTGAGAAAAATTCACAAGAGAGGCAATTAATTTAAAGCAGACCAGTTTAACAGGTCTGGAATATATTCTAGTTAAGTGTTGTTTCTGTTTACCATCACTTTGTAAGGACCTGTTCCCTCTGGAAGTATCATATTCTGTAAAACACATGTATTTTACTGATACTGCTGCTGCTGCAATTGAAATTCATTGTGTCATTCTCTAACAGTTGTGCTGCATTTAAATGTATACAACAGGTGAAACTTAGCAATTATCCAGCTCCATAAAGTTTTGAGCATACTTTCAGAAAATTCTCGTATGAAGCTCTGCAGTGATCTTTTACCCCATCCGCTCTAACCTAGGGTCCAGACTAGCAGCTTTATAAAAAAGGAATTCATTTCATTTTCACTTTGGTACAGTTTCTTATGTTCTCTGGCTCATATCGCATCTGTTACAATTTCTGTAATGATCTGCTTAAAAATAACACGCCTAAAAATAAATAACGTCATGCTGCTGAGCGGCGTTA